ACAACTTGGGTTTAAAAGCACTTAAATCCGGTCCCTTTCAAAACATTTTTTTAAGAAGCTCTGCCTTGGATTATGTACTTGTAACAAAGAGGCGTGATTTCAAATGCACCCTGTGGAAAGATGCTTAGCTCAAAACTGTTTAATCATCTGAGCTTTCAGTAAGTTGTAATTTTTTTTTTTTTTTTTTTGCTAGTGGAGGGTCTTGTCTCCATGTGGGTGGCTGCTGACTGATCAGGGTGGTAGTTGCTGAAGGCTGGGGTGGCTGTTTAATTTCTTAAGACAGGAATGAAGTTAGCCACATCAGTTGACTCTTTCTTTCATGAATGTTTTCTCTGTAGTGTGTAATGTTATTTGATAGCATTTAACCACATTGGAACTTCTTCCAAAATTGGAGAGAGCTCTCTCAAACTCTGCTGCTGCTTTGTCAACTAAGTTTATGTAATATTCAACAATCTTCACAGCGTCTTCACCATGAATAGATTTCCTCTCAAAAAAAACCACTTTGTTCATCGGTAAGAAGCAACTCCTCATCTGTTAAGAGTTTTATCCTGAGATTGCAGGGATTCAGTCACATCTTTAGGATCCACTTCTAATTCTACTTCTCTTGCTATTTCCACATCTGTAGTTACTCCCCCTCCCCCCAGAGTCTTGAACCCCTCAAAGTCCTCCATGAGGGTTAAAATCAACTTCCTCCAAGCTCCTGTTTATATTCATATTTTGACTACTTTCCATGAATCATGAATGTTCTTAAAATGGCATCCAGAATAGTGAATCCTTTCCAGAAAGTTTTCACTTGATCTTAGCCAAAAGGCCGAGAAGCGATTCCTTTCCAGAAAGTTTTCAATTTATTTTTCCCAGATCCATCAGAGGAATCACTTATAGCCTTATAAAATGTACTCCTTAAACAATGAAACTTGAAAGTCAAAATTACTCTTTGATCCATGGGCTGCGTCAGGGATGTTCTGTTAGCAGACATGAAAACATTAATCTCATTGTGCATCTCAGTCAGAGCTCTTGCTGACCAGGTGCATTGTCAGTGAGCACTAGTATTTTGAAAGGCATCTTTTTCTCCTGAGCAATAGGTCTCAACAGTGGGCTTAAAATATTCAGTCATCCATGTTGTAAACACACGTACTGCCATCCAGGCTTTGTTTTTCCATTTGTAGAACACAGAGTAGATTTAACATAATTCTTACGGGCTCTAGGATTTTCAGAGTGGTAAATGAGCATTAGCTTTAACTTAGAGTCACCAGCTATTTAGCCCCTAACAGGAGAGTCAGCCTGTCCTTTGAAGCCAGGTATAGACTTCTCTCTAGCTAAAGTCCTAGATGACATCATTTTTCAATATAAGGCGGTTTCATTTACACTGAAAGTCTGTTGTTTAGGCTAGCCACCTTCAATAATTATCTTAGCTAGATCTTCTCGATAATTTGCTGCAGCACCTTGCGCTTTTATGTTACAGAGACAGCTCCTTTCTTTCTTTCTTTTTTAAAGGTTTTATTTATTTATTTGACAGAGCATAAGCAGGAGGGAGGCTGCAGGCAGAGGAAGAGGGAGAAGCAGGCTCCCCACTAAACAGGGAGCCCGATGCAGAGCTCAATCCCAGGACCCTGGGGTCATGACCTGAGCCGAAGGCAGACGCTTAACCCATTGAGCCACCCAGGCGCCCGAGACAGCTTCTTTCCTTAAGCCTCATGAACCAAACTTTACTTCCGCAGTTTCCTCATCTCTCTCAGCCTTCATAGAACTGAAGAGAGTTAAGGTCTTGCTATGGATTAGGCTTTGGCCTAAGGGAATGTTGTGACTAGTTTGATCTTCTATTCAGACCGCTGTAACTTTCTCTGTACTAGCATAAGGGGTTTTGCTTTCTCATCATTTGTGTGTTCACTGGAGTAGCACTTTTAATTTCCTTCAAGAACTTTTCCTTTGCACCTTGGCAAACTGGGGCCAGAGGCCTACCTTTCAGCCTATCTCAGCTTTTGACATGCCTTCCTCACCAAACTTAATCATTCTAGCTTTTGTCTTAAGTGAGAAAGTGGTGCCTGGGTGGCTCGGTCAGTTAAACATCTGCCTTCAGCTCAGGTCATGATCCCAAGGTTCTGGGATCGAGCCCCACATCAGGGCTCCCTGCTCGGCAGGGAGCCTGCTCCTTCCTCTGCCCACCCCCCTGATCGTGCTCTATTAAATAAAATCTTAAAAAGAAAAAAAATGTGACTCTTCCTTTTACTTGAAAACTTAGAGCCCATTATAGGGTTATTAAGTGGCCTAATTTCAATATTGCTGTGTCTCAGGCAATAGGGGGGCCTGAGGAGAGAGAGACAGGGAAATGGTGGGTCAGTGGGGGAGTCAGAGCACATACATTTATTAAGTTCACCATCTTATACGGGCATGGTTGGTGGTACCCTAAAATAATCACAACAGTAACGTCACTCGTCATAGGTCATCACAACAAATAGAATGGAAAATGTTGAAATCCTGCAGGAATTACCAATTAGACATTACTATTAGAAAAATGGTGTCCACAGACTTACTTGATGTAGGGTTGCCACAAAGCTCAATGAAGTGAGAGATGCCAGTATTCCTATTAAAATCTATACAGTCTATCCTTCCCCAGTCTCACCTCTTCTGTCAATCTTTTCTCACCTCCCCAGACACCTGAGGTCTCTGGGTAAAGCCTCATAGCTGTCAGTGCCTTTCTTACAGCACTTACAATGGAATCTCGTTGAAGACAGTAATTTCATTTAAATATTCAACCCTAACACTCTGTTGCTAAAAAACTGGAAAATTGCTTGCTAAAATGAATTAAAATTATTAAAGTCAATGCTTGCTTTCAGTTACAGCTTGATTTTAAGTTTATAATCCGTCTCAAGCTGATAGAAGATCTGGGAAACATTTTTAAATAGAATCATCGGTCTAAACATACAAAAGTGCTTCCAGGATACTACAGAAAGCATGTTGAAATATACAGGACCAGTTCTGCTGCTTTTGCCTTATGTAATCAGCAACCACAGGTGTTTCCTTGTGCTGTGTGAATTGTTAAACACATAAAAATGGTAATTATTCTTGTGCTTTGTGGTTTATTTATAAAAAGGTATAAAATATAGTCACAATATTAAAATTAAACTCTCTAATGGATTTTGTTAACCTGGATTGTAAATGCCACAGCATTCAACAATAATGTAAAATATATACCAAATAACTTAGTTGTTTTGTATGTGCAATGCATTTAACTAGTTTCAGCCAATTCGTTCATGACCATAGATGTGTCAGCTGAGGAGGTGAGCTCATCTCAGACATCCTATAAAGGAAATACTTGCTGGTTAAAGAACTACAGTTACTTGACAGCCTCCAACTATTAATGATTTCAGGGGCCACCCCCTAATGTCCTTGTTGGCTTTCTGCCTGATTGCCTTCAACAACAAAACCAAGAAACTTAACATTTCCAACTTCTCAAAAGGTGTAACATATACCCACTTTCTTGCATGGCTTTCTATCTGAAATGATGCTCTTCCCTGGTAATCGCAGAGCCAATGATTAAGCAGATCAGGAATACTAGAACTTTTCTGTCTACCATGCAGCTTCTTTACCAGGTAATCTTTGGTTTAAAGCTCTCCATTGGGTTGGCCAGGACTCATTTGTATCATAATCAGGTTTTCCCTAACCAATCCTGCTTTATCCTCCCTTTGTCTTTCAGAGGCATAATCCTGCAGTAGACCTCTTCCATTCATAATTGTGTCAGCATTTACTTTTTGGAGGATATGACACAGCAGTCCCAGAAGTGGGATTTGGGGACTGCATCACTTATCACTTTACTGACAACAAAATCCACAATGCAGGGAGTTTGTGAGACATGGGTAATCCTTAGCACAAAGTGGTGCCTCAATTGCTTTAATCCTCACTGGTAGTGACTTAGCAACTTGAGAGAATGGTTTGGGAAAAAGTAATGCCCTGGTCATTGCAGTGTTTAGGATTTTGAAAAAGTCAAGGGAAATCATGCATACTAAGATAATGAAATTGACTAATTTTTAATAGTGTGGATGCCTGATGGAGTGATAATGGGAAATATTTAAAGAATGGAAAACTAACAGTAAAGACTCATTGGCAGCTTACAAAGCAGCCATTATGAATTCCCATAGAAGAGCAGACAAACCAAAGACAATTAAATGCTCAAGATTTTTTGGAAAAACTGACTCTAAAACATGGGATGGGGAATCTGGTGCATATCCCTCAGGATTTGGGCTTACCAGACCTTTCTGAAACTTCAAAGTCTGAAGAGTTGACCTCCCTGTTAAAAGACAGCATTCTCCTGAGCCAAAGAAGACATCACAATTCAGGGGATACTCCAGAAGCCTCTCCCCCAAAAAGCAGTAGGAGGCCCATCAGGACTTGCCTTGCCACCTCTCTGGCTGCCGGATGGATAACAAAGTTAAGTGCCAGTATAATTCAAGCAGCAACACCTGGATCTGATTAAGAAAGTAGCTATGCACCTCAGAGGAGCTTTAATAATTAGCTCACGTTAACAAATTGAAACTAGTTTTTGAGGGTGCTTAATCAAGAGAGCTAGAACATAGGACTAGATAAGGGAGAGATTATTCACATGAGCTCACATACCTGAGACACAGAGCTCAACATCCTGACAAGTAACTTAGAGCATGACTCGAAGCTGTGGATGGCTTAGTGCATGTGCAGCTGCCACAGTGCCTTCTTAGAGGCCGTGTCCTCCAAGATGAGGTGTCCACAGTGGATACAGAACTCTACAAGGCCTTGTGTCCTCAGTAGGAAGATGCATGTGTCTGAGACCAAGATATGGAAGAATGAGTGCCCCAGTTACCAGTTATTTCCATGACCCACTGGAAGGTTTAGACTTCCCATCTTCACACTTCTGAGATTACAAGGTTAGTGGTCTTCCAAAATGGGACCTTCTCTAGCCACGCAGCGTACAATGATCCTTTAAGTTGTAAGACATGGGTTTCACCTAGCCAATTTTGACTTTTTTGTAGATACCTAGAGACAAGAGGAGTCACCCTCTAAGTAGGAATAATTGACCCTGATCAGCAGGAGGAGCGATTGTTTACTTGCTGTTAAACAATTGAGGTAAGAAAGATTATGTGTGGAACTCAAGCCACTCCCTGGGAACCTATTGTTATTTTTCTTTCCCAAATGTGGAAACCAAGTATAAGTGCAGAAACTCCAGTGTGACAAGAGAATAATTTCCAGGATCCCAGACCTCTTAGGAATGGGGATTTGAGTTATATCACCAGGGAAGCCACTGAAACCAGTATGAATGACCACCTAAGGGAAAAGGAAATTTTAGAAAGGTTAGTGAAGGGGCGGGTGTGGTTAAGAAGTACCAGTGACAGCCCAGGCTTCCCTGCAGTGATGAGTGTTAGAGTTTATCCCACTACCTGTCCTCCTAAATTTCCCCTCAGAAAATTGGAGCAGTTGCTGTCAAAACAGGTTACAAGGGAAGGATTTTGCTGAACATGGAGGTGTGCTGGCGCAGATCTCACCAGTTGCTGGACAGATCAGCCGATCACTTAGCCTGTTAGATATACTAGTCTGGACATTTTGCCTAATGCAGGACTCCTCGAATGGGCAGTCTTTGCTCTGAAACTCCCATTAGGTTGCCGAGAATTTGTCATGTCTGCATCGTGATCTTTGCCTCCATAGACATTTTACACTCCTAACCCATCTCAGTGTCTGTTTCCCAGAGGACCCAGTGAATGCAATTGCTGTGTTAATGATAGTCTCAATAGATTATAATTTTATAAATTCCCAGGACCTTTTATAAACTTGTCTCACACACAGTCCTCACTTAGGATCTAGAGCTAATATAGATATAATTACTTTATCCACCTCCACTGCATCTTGTCAGGAAGCAGATTTAATAGATACCTAATTTTGATAAAACTTACATCTCTCTGGTCTTGAACTGATAAGACTAAAATTCTTTTTAGTCTGTGTGTTTTGTGAAGCATAAAAGCTACTTGTTTTTATAGCATACTATTTATTCCAACATATTATTCAATAAGACTATGAAATGTAATTCTTCACCACCATTCATAACTAGTATTAATAACTACAGAACAATGTTTGTGAAAAGCAGGAGTAGGCGTTTCAAGGATATGTGCATATGATTTATATAAAAAGTGCTTTAAAAACTGGCTGAATGCAATTCCTTATTCTGGGTAGTGAAAGTGGGTGATTTTTCTAATTCTTTTGTATTGCTTCATTTTATTAACTCAGAAAAGACTCATTATTTTTGTTGAACTAAGGAGAAGAATAAACTTCTTGAACTCCGCCCCCCCCCCAAAAAAAACAAAACAAACTTCTTGAACTCCTTTGAGGTCGGTTAATGTGTGATCCTAAGAGTTATAGTTAGCCCTTATATAGACACACATACATCCTTAAAATTATAAAATGTACTCCTCCTTTGAGATAAATTTAAAAAAATGGCAGGGTAGAAAGTGGCTATCAAGGGAAAAGATGCTATAGATAGTTGTTAAATGCAATAGAGTGATGAAAGCTCATATGAACAAATTTCTGGATATAATTATATGAACGTATAGATTAAAAAAATTATTGTCAAAAAATGGCAAAAATACCTACTTACGTAGGACTTTCCAAAAATAAAATATTGGATCTTTGTCAGAATTTATTGTAGAAATTGGAATACAATATATGTTTAAAATACATTGTAGGTTTAAGGAAGAGATCGCTCCTACTTAAATGCAGTGTAGGCACTAAGCAGTATAAACTGCTTCTTAAGTCATAGGATTGAATTAGCTACTATAAAAACTTTTTTGGGGCGCCTGGGTGGCTCAGTCGTTAAGCGTCTGCCTTCGGCTCAGGTCATGATCCCAGGGTTCTGGGATCAAGCCCCGCGTCGGGCTCCCTGCTCTGCGGGAGGCCTGCTTCTCCCTCTCCCACTTCCCCTGCTTGTGTTGTCTCTCTCTCTCTCTGTCAAATAAAATCTTTAAAAAAACAAAAACAAAAACTGTTTTGCCCACAAACAGATTTGGACTGAGGGTTCTGGAGGAGAATACCATAACTATGGAAAGAGGAGAAAATAAGTTTAAAAAAAAAAATCAAATTTTCTGACTAAAAGGAAAACAGAAGTCAGAGGTATGCATATTAATGTGAATATAGAAAAATCAAGAATAGCTTCTGAAAGAAACACAAAATCAGACCTCTTTGCCCTGAGGTATCTGCCTTTAATTATTTCCTCAGTACATTCTTCTATTTTAACTTCAGTATTTATTTTTTCATTTTTCTTCCCCACATTTCAAATACATTTTTCCCTTTTATTATGTTAATCACTATACATTACATCATTAGTTTTTGATGTAGTGTTCCATGATTCATTGTTTGCGTATAACACCCAGTGCTCCATGCAGTACGTGCGTGCCCTCTTTAATACCCATCAGGCTAACCCATCCCCCCGCCCCCCTCCCCTCTAGAACCCTCAGTTTGTTTCTCAGAGTCCATAGTCTCTCATGGTTCATCTCTCCCTCCGATGTCCCCCCATTCATTTTTCCCTTCCTGCTTTTTTTTTTTTTTAAACATATAATGTATTATTTTTTTCAAAGTTCTTCATTATGTACTACATGTTTTCTATATTTTCATGTACTTTCAGACAAACTTTCTCTGTCACTAGATCTTTCTCAATAGGTACTTTGAAGTTTGAGTGGCTCTATTCATTGTATTATGTAGAAACTTATCACAAATTATGTATATATATATGGAACTACACCAGATTCTGAAAACACAAAGTTCTTATTTAATATAAAATGGAGTGGTATAACAATTGCTTATCATCTAAAAAATGTATAAACTAGATGTTTATTCAAGTTATCAAATTAAAAAAATTAAAGATTTATTTGAGAGAGAGAAAGAGCATGAGTGGGAGGGACACACGGAGAGAGAATCTCAAGCCGACTCCACACTAACCACAGAGCCTGACAAGGGGCTCAGTCCCCTGAT